GGGGGGGGGGGGGGGGGAATGGAGCGGTAGTGGTGACAGCCATGTTTGTGGCCCCCAGGAAAAACTCTTTGGCCTAGGGTCTAGGCCCTGTGTCGGGGTAGGGCTGTGCCCCTGCTCTGTCGAGTCTCTGTGAGACACTTCTCTTTTGGCCTGACGTATTGTATTCCCGTTGCGGGGAACACGCCGAAGTCATGGGTTGTATATACATTCAACGCCACCCCTGGTGCACCCATGTACACCGTATACCTAAGCTTGTGCCGTCATTCTTTAGCTCCTAGAGTCTCGTTGCAAGGGCTGTTGGTGCTCTGCCTGACGTCCATCGCGTCTACTGTACGGAGAAAAACGGCCGAGAGTTTTTCGGACCATGGCCCCCGCTCCTCCACCGGGTGGTCGGAGAGGACTACGACGCACGCCGACCAGGTTGGTCGACCAATCACAACCGCAGCAGTGACTTCGGCATCCACTCCACGCGACAAGGTCGGAGATGTCTGTCTACATCGTCGGTGAGAAACAGCCAACAACGCCGAAGCCGTGCGTGATGAAAAAAAGGTTCAGATCGGCGTCAACTCACGCAAGTTGTGTTTGTTTCGCAAGTACACCAAAGCCAGACATCAACGTCCTACCTCACCCCCCTAAGCTAGTGCCCTGTCGCGGGCCTGAACCCACCCACCCCCTTTACCTGCTACGTTTACTCTCCTCCTTCATGCTACAAACTTTGTGCAATCGAGTGTCGTTTCGACAGCAACACCCTTTCCCTCTTCAAGTGTCGCACAACGCGTCTATAGTCGTCTCCCCCGCCCCCCCTAATCCCACCTTGAGCGCCGCGAGCCCCCGCCTCGAGAGCACCTCCCCGGCCTCGACCCTCCTGCTCTCCTCCGCCCATTCCCCGGAACCCCCGCCCGCTAGAGACGACGACGGCTGCTTTCGCGAAGGCGAAGTAAACGCACCAGCATCATCAGATGTACGAGGCCAAGACGACGAAGAAGGGGCAGAAGAGTCCCCCCCCCGCGTTGCCGCCCACCAGTCAGCCGTCACAGTAGTACTAGTCGCAGTAGTACCAGTGGCCGCGGCGGCGGCGGCGGCAGCGGCGGCCGCGGTGGCGGCGTTGTTCGGGGAGGCCTTGCGGAGGGCGCGGTCGACGAGGACGTCGGTGACGCTGGCCAGGGAGAACGACAGGCCGAATGCCCCGTAGAACCTCCGGGACTCGTACTCGATGTGCGACCCGATCCACCGGACATTCTGCGTTTCGGGGGGTAGGGAGGCGGGGGGCGGGGCGGAGTGGGAAAATCGTTGCAAAGGTGGGCGGGTGCCCACCGTGTCCGGGTCTACACCCAAGATAAAGCACGGACAGGAAACTGTACGCTAAGCAAAGCAAGCACCAGGGAAGAATCAACGACCCTCGGACGTCAACCTACCTCACGAACAAACCTACCACTATATGTAACAACAAAAACTCCCTCCTTTCCATTGCTACGACTCATCTCACCGTGTCCATGTACTGCAGCGCAGATAGCACCTTGAGCCACAGTCGGATTGGCTCTGATCCTGGGCCCGGGTTTGCCGCGAGGGTGGCCACGTCTAGAGCGGTGCCTGGGCTCTGCAATGGGGTGTAGTGGGATGGGACGGGACGGGGGGGGACGAGGATCTCGGTGGTCATTTATGTCAACAGCGGTGTACTTGTAAGCGTGGGGCGGGGCATATTGTCGTACGAGGGACGGTCCGCATGCTCTATCCGGCGAGAGCTGCTGGTTGTGGCTCTTGTTTTTGTTCGTGGTAGAGCAAAATGATGCCATGGCATGCCATGCTATGCCCCTTGGGACTCATGTTCCAGGGTGTGAATTTCCTTTCCCGTCGATGCTGTTGGAATGTTTTCTTTGGTTGACGCATGTATCGACGTCGTTTTCGGCGTCGTCGTTTGGGGGGAAAGGGCTCCGATCCGTGGCCTCATCAATAATAACGGTGACGGGGGAATTTACAGCAGTCTCCCTCTCTCTCTATCTTGCTCTATCTCTCTCAGTCTCTGTATCTCTCTCTATTCCATCTCTGGAGATAGTGGCCCTGTGGATCGATGGCCGGATGTACGAACAGACAACGCCCGCGGGACGCACGTACAGGGAGGGGAGTCCAGATTCCTTGGCACAACCTAGATTGAAAAAACAACTCCAACCGGGGTTCTGAACAGAGACGCGCACGCAGGCCAAGCAAAAACTTCTACACTTCCAATATCCGTGTGTGACACAAAAAAAACACACACATACAACTTCCAACCAAACATACAGCACAACGAAAACGACAACAAAAACACTCTCGCCGAAGGCCGCGGGCACCCGGGAGGCGGAACGCAAACGGAAATGGAACGCACCTGCAGAGCGTACTCCAGGTCCCGGAACACGTGCAAGAACCTCCGGTGGTTGGTGATGTCGTGCTCAAGGAAGGCGTTCTCGCCGCGGGCCGCCCCCCGGGGGCCCGGCTGCTGGGCTGCGATGACCGCCTCCCTCCCCCCCTCGCGCCCGCAGCCGCGACACCCCGCGTCCCTCATGGTTCTGACCAGCGCCTCCGCGAGCAAGGCCAGCAGCCCCGGGGTTTCGGAGAAGCGCCACACTTTTGGAACTCCTGAAACAGAGGAGAGCGGGCGTGTGTAAGAAAGGTTTTCGTTTGGGGATGCGCCGCACGCGGCATGAACAGCAGCATGTGGCTGTTGGTAAAACCTTACCGAAGGAGAAAGGGTGGCATTGACTCATGAGGTTTCAGGCATGGTGGCGGGAACGGTGTGCGTGGTCACCGGGGCTGGTTTGAGCCAGAGCAGTACTCCTGATTGCTTTGTTGTCGCCTTAGCGAAAGGCGGGGCTTGCGGCGGATATTCCTGCACCTCAAGCAGCATTTGCCTCTCTTATCATACAGAACTACAGTACCCCTAGCAAACACTCGTGGTGCCTAATGCTACGGCTAATGCTTCGCCGCGCTACCTACCAGCCGTCAGCATCGCACGGACCATCTTCTACCTTGAGGTACGAAAACAACGTGGGCGTACCGTACCGTCACCCGGATGAAGCTATCCCATCCCATCCTGTGCTACTCACTACTTCAAAGTACCCGCTGACCATGATTACCTCTGTGGGTTGCGGGGAAAAAAAGAAAAAAAAAAAAAGTGCACCCATATGCCTGCACCGCCATCTAGCGGAAGAATTACTTGGTCGCGCTGACCATGGTCCTGGTTGGGGGGCGAAAAGACCAAGAAACGCGCTAGACTACACACCGTCACCCAGTTGGTGCTGTTCCTCACGGTTGTCTTCACATTAAAACCGTCCCACTACACTAAAACCGTCCGGGTACGGCTCCAAGCCGACACGTGCGCCTTCCGTGGCCACGACCCAACAACCCACCAAGAACGAAGTAACAGTTTCAAGGTTGATGTTCACAGCATCGTGGATAGCACTGACCAAGGTCTGGGTTGGGGAGAATCGCGCTGGGGGTCGCCGCCGAGGCGTCGGCCAGTAGACGGACCAGGCTCGGTGTGGTGAAGGTCTGGACGCTGAAACCGAAGATGCTCTCGTCCGACACGCCCACGCCCTTGCAATAGAGGGAGTTCAGGTACTGGGCGGACAGGGGGCAGAGCAAGGGCGAGAGAGACCGCCGGGAAGGAAAGAGGAGGATTTTTTTTCGTGTTGTTGTTGTTGTTGTTGTTGTTGTTGTTGTTTGCCAACGAGAAAGAAAGGAGAAGACAGAGGGGAGTTCTAACGGGGAGAGGAAAGACGGCGGACAGGGAGAACACCAGGATTCAAATAATCACCATGTGGGAAAGAGGAACAAACTAGAGGAGGGAGAGGAAAATACGAGGAACAACCAAACACACAACACGAGGAACGCATCGAAGCAACAGCCACGTCCTACATGACCTTGTCCAAAGTACGAAATCCATCAGGCAGGACAATCAAGAACCGGAAGCTATGCCCGCACAACAACACACCCGACCCGCCCACCCATTTCACACAAAACCTGCCCACGCAAAACAGTTCCCGCCTGCAAGCTGCACGCCCACTGCTGCCATGCCATGGTGTGCTCGATTAGGCCCTCGAAGCGACAACCACCAAAAGCAACATCAGTCCCTTCTCCCGCGCCATCGATGTGCGTTCGTGTTTTTGCATTGGAATACTTTGGGGGGTTACTGCATACCAGGGATTAGTGTGGGTGCAGTAAACCTTTATTTTCCACATTTATCCCAGTGCAAGACCCCAAAAATACCATGGGCGTGCATACGTTGATGCCGTAGGTTATTGTACTACGTATGATCTATGCACAACAATTTGTCCAACCACGTTGTGCGAGACAACATTCAAGAGCAAACGGGGCATATACCACAATTGACCCCACCACACAACAGACCCAGCCCCCCCTCCATTCTCTCGAGCTTATCCCTGTCGACCCCTGACGCAGTGCATCCCATGTGCACGCACTCCGTCATTCCCCATATTTTTGTGAATACTACAGGGGAACACCCTGTTCGAAAACACAAGGGCACCCGGATACACACTCCACAACGGTTCCCTACATTGCCGCAACAACAGAGGAGGGGCTACATAGCACACAACACACCTCGTACAGCCGCGCGAACGCCAGCGCGAAGTCCCTCTTGAACTCCTGATCCACGAGCAGCCTCATCAGCAGGCCGTGCAAGCAGAGCCTGAGGGGCTTCGCGATCATGGGGTCCGACGCCACCAGCACCACCAACGGGGAGTCTCGGGCCACCCGGTAAGGCACCGCCTCGCTCCCGCCCGCCCTCGTGTGGCTCACCCACAGGTACCCCAGGTTGGTGCTCAGGCCGAACATGCTGCTGTGCCGCGGCGGCGGCGCCCTCGGCTCCTGTTGCTGGTTGTTCTCCGGCAGATACTGGGAAGAAGGTGAGCCAGAAAGCGAAGGACTTCCAGCTCCTCCTCCTCTTCCATTTGCCCAAGTGCTGCCCCCGCCGGCTGCAGCGCCAGCAGACCCCTCAACCGCAGCCCCTCCTTCTTGCCCTCCCGCTGCCGCCGCCGATCCCTCCTCCGCTTCTCCGCCTTTCGCCGGCGTTGCGCCGGCGGGGGCGACGGCGTCGTTAGGGGGCGGGGGGGCGCGAGAGGCGGCGACGAGCTCTTGAGCCACGACACGGCGCAAGCCGTCGGTCTGGGAGCACAGCAGACCCAGCCATGGCAGGAGCGCCAGGCCGCGGTTCTCCATCTCCACGTGGGCGGAGTCTTCCCACGCGTAGTGCGTTGGTGTTGGATTTTGGTTTTCGACGCCGAAGGCGGAGGGAGGGAGGGAGGGAGGGAGGGAGGGAGGGAGACAGAGAACCACTTAGAGGGGAGGACCAATGGAAGAGTTAAGATGAGGACAGCACAAGACGCTACAAGTCCAGACCCGAGCCTAACGCTACAAGTCCAGACCCGAGCCTAACGCGTCCCACAGTAGCTTCGTCCTAGCTCTTCGCGTGTGATTGGAACTTCGAACTAGCGCTGGTTGGGGGCATCCAACTATCGGCACCGGCAACATCAAATAACCACGACCGCGCAAGGCCCGTGCCACCACAAAGGCCTCCATATACAAGCCCAAACCTTCCCAGACCCCAAAAAAACGACAACAGCACGAGGACCCTCCCTCACTACAAAGAGAAGGCAACAATTGGCCCCAGACCACAAAACAACAACAACAACAACAACAACAACAACAACAACAACAACAACAACACAACAACAACAACAAAAGTGTGGCGCCCCTCCCTCACCACAAATAGCAGGCAGCAGTTGGCGCTCGCGCAGGAAACGCAGGGTCCGGAGCGCCTGCGGCCGCGACGCCCGGAGGACATTGGCCATGCCCTTGTCGTCCACCTCTTGCGTGAGCGCCACCGCCTGGTTGTCGTTGTCGGGTTCGTGTTCGTTCATGCCAGGCAGCCAGGGGTGGACGCAGATGAAAAATTCACAGGGTGAATGGGGGA